CGCCCCCCGCAGCTGGCGCCGCCCCGGGCCCGGCGCTGCCCACGGCGGCCGGGCTGGGCTTGCTGCCCTCGGCGGGGCCCGGCGGAGCCGCCGGAACCGCGGGCGCGGGGTCGGGATCGGCGCTGCCGCTCATGGTCCCCGGCACCAGCCTCCGCTCCGCGCCTGCGCGCGCCACGCCGCTCTATTGGCCCCGCGGCTCCTCCGCCCCGCCCCTCTCGACGGCCCATTGGCCCTGCCGGGTCCCCGCCCCGCCCCCATTGGTCCCGCCCTCCGGCGCTCATCGCTCCGCACTCCCCCTGGCGGAGGCACGGGCACAAACAAAGACGGTGGGCGGGGCTTCGCGCGTTTATTGCTCCGCCCCCGCCCCGCCCCCGGTTCCGCGCCGCTCGCGGCCCGGTGCCGCTGCCCGCTCCCGGCGTCCGGTCACAGCGTCCGCTCCCGCTGCCCGCTCCCGCTGTTCGGCCCCGCTGTCTGCTCCCGCTGTCCTGGTCAGCGCGGCCCTAGCGCCCGCAGCAGGCGCGGGAAGTTGGGGGTGCCCCAGCCCGTGACCGGGTCCCAGGCGGGGGTGGCGCAGAAGCCCTGGCCCTGCACGGTGCCGTCCAGGCACGACAGGTGGCAGCCCTGGATCACCTGCGGGGACCAGCATCAGTACGGGGGCTCGGGGCCGCCCCCCGAGTCTCGGGACAGCGACCTCCGGAGCACAGGAGCCCCACACAGCCCTGGGACAGGAGCCCGGGGCACAGGGACCATGCGGGACAGGGGTACCATGGCCACAGGGACCCTGCCCGCAGTCCCCGGGAACCCGGGACAGCCGTCCCTGACACAGGAATCCCAGGGACAGGGACCCCCACAACACCCGCCATGGCACAGGCTGCCCCTGCCCAGGGTCCCCTCCGGACACTGGCAACATGGAACAGCATGCTCAGCTGGACCCTGGGACTGCTGCAGTCACTGGACGCTGCTGCCCTGGCCACACAAGAGGACCTGCCCCACAAAGCTCACAGGAGCCCATGGGGACCCCCCAGGACACCCCTCCCACGGGAAGGCTATAGGGACAGGAGGACACTGCTGGCCCTGCCCCAGCCACAGCGCTGGGAGCAGGAGCCCCAGGACAGCCCCGTCAGCCCCCAGCCCAGCCCTGGGAGCACACAGACCCACCCCAGGCCTCAGCCCAACACTTCAGGACACCCAAAGTCCCCTCAGCCCCAGTACAGCCCCTCCAGCACCCGTTCCCTGCCCCACTCACATCATAGAACGCATCACCATGCCCTTGTTTCTGCAGCTGGTAGAGCGCAGGGTTGAGGAAGCCCAGGGGTGCCAGCCCCCGCTGCAGGCGCCGGTCGTTGATCAGTGCCACCATGCCCGCCACCACCGGCGTGGACGCCTGCGTGGGCACAACCCCTGAGCCCAGGGTCCCGCTGCACCGCAGGGGGCGGGGGCTGAGCTCCTTACCGAGGTCCCCGACACCCAGGGCAGCGGGATGCGGTTTGTCACCACCCAGTAGTTGTCGGAGAGCGCAGCCAGGTCGGGGTACGCGCGGCCGCTGCTGTTGTAGTAGGAGCTGGGCGGCAGCTTCGAGGCTGAGCGCAGGAAACGCCCGACAGCAGCGGCCTGGGGACAGCACGGCCCGTGGGCATCCCCAAGCCCGAATCCCAAATCCTCCCCAAGCCCAACCCTAACCCTGCAGCCCCCAGCCTGGCAGTGCAGGGGTCCCTCACCTGGTACTCAGGCATGGGGAAGATGTTGCTGAAGCCGCCCCCGCTGATGTAATCTGTCACCTCCTCTGTCACCAGGAAGGGGTTCTTGAAGGACGTGCCACCCACAGTGGTGACGTAGGGGCTGGGGAGACGGGGACACTGCAGGTGGGCACACGGCTGCCTGGGCTCAGCAGCCACCGACAGCCCCCTCTGGTAGCACAACCTCGCCCCACAAACCCAACCAACCCCCGGGGCTGCACAGGCTGCAGCTCTGGGGTCTGCAGGCGCGCTGGTGAGGACCCCCGGTGACCCTGCAGGGGCTCAGACCCCGCGGGGCTGCGCTGACCCCTCGCGCCCACCTGGAGGCCGGGAAGCTGGGCCGGAACGTGTGGTTCCCGCTGTGCTCCCGCCGACAGCCAGCTCCGTCGTCACCTGCCGACACAGGAACAGGTGACAGGTGCCCACGGCACCCCAGGCAGCCCTGCCCACCCCACTCGGTGCTGCAGCTCGGCGTGGCAGCCCCGGCCCACCTGAGGCGAACAGGATGGTGAGGCCGCGGGCTGCCGCCTTCATGAGCTCGGTGTTGACGCGCTCCATGTAGGCGTAGGACAGGCTGTCCTCGTCGTCCCCGTAGCTCACCGAGTGCACCCAGGGCACCGCTGACATGTTGCTGAGCAGCAGCAGCCAGGCCAAGAAGGGTTCCTGGCTCTCATGGCGCCCTGCAAGGACATCGGGGAAGGGACACAAGGGATAGTTCCTCCAACATCAGGGATGGGGGACAGCGCGAGGAGCCCTGCCTCATCAGCACCAGCACCTTCCTACGCAGGGCAGCCCCACGTGCTCCTTCCTGTGGGCCATGGAGTCACAGCACATCCGGCCTGGAGCTCCGTGAGCTCATGCTGGGGCTCCTCACATTGCACGGCACTGAGCTTCAGCTCAGCCCATGGCGTTGGCAAGAGGGCCATCATTAGCCCACGACAGGGGGTTACACTCACACCCCTCTCCAAGACTCTGCCCCAGGGCTGCAGCCACATGGGCACCTGTGGACCCAGCGGGGCCTCAGCTCCTCCTCTGGCAACAGGTCCCAGCAGAGTGGTGCAGGTGCCACCTCCACACATTCCACCTGCCAGGTCCCTCCCTGCCCTCCAGCCCTCTCCACTGGGAGGGGAGCAGAGCCCTAGCCACCCCCACTCACTCTCAGTCACCTCTGTCACTGCACTTGCACCCTTCCCACACAGTAACTGTGTGAGGGCGGAGGGAAGGGCAGCGCTCGTCTGCTGTCACTGTCACCATCGGGCAGGGCCACTGTCCCTGTGGCACTCACCTGCTCAGCCAGTTCCCAATCTGGGACAGGGACACTGCCCCTAGCACTGTGCCCTGTTTGTGTTTGTGCAGGCTGTTTGGCAATTTGTTTTCCTAAATTTCCTCACTCTCCCTCATCTGCTCCACTGGGAGACTCGTGGGTGGGAGCTCATCTGCAGCAGAGCTGAAAACCCCAGGGGAGGAGGGCTGTGCCCTCCTTCATGGGACTGAGCAGGGCAGCTGCTCTGCATGGTGCCAGCAATTAAATCCCTGCTTCAGGATACTCTGGACGTTGAGGGTTCACACAGTCCAAAGTCACTACACACAGCAGGAGTGATGTTCCCAGGAGCTGGGAATGCGGTGCCAGCTCTGACTTGGGGAGCACACAGGGTGCACCCTCAGAGCAGCTGGGAAAGCACCTGGAGCTGTACTATGGCCAGTTGTCTGCACAGCCCTGCAAGCTCTCCCCTCGCTCCTCTGAGCACTCTCCTCTCCCGTTCCAGCCCCCTCCCTCGCACCTCCAAGTGTTCCCTTCCGTGCTCCGGGCACTCCCCTCCTCCCTCTGGGTGCTCTCCTTCCCCCTCCAGGTGCTCCCCCTGCCCCTTGGGGCTCTTTCCCAGTACCTGCGTTGCTGAAGACCCAGGTGGAGACATTGGCACCTGTGCTCATGATGTATTCCACGTCCAGGCTGGCCTCCAGCCCGGCTTTGCCACGGCCCTGATGTCCCACCACCCGGTCCACCTGCGTGCGGTGGGCAAAGCCACTGCCAAACAGCTGCATGAACTCAGCCAGGTCAGCTTGGTGGAAGTACTGCTCCAGAAACTGTGGGACACAGAGGGACAGGTTGTCTCCATTCGAAAAAACAAGGTAATATTTTGATCCTGACGGAGGAAATTGCCCAGCACGGGTCTGTGCTACACCAGGCGCACCATCAGCCACCAAGGGACACCCAGCTGTCCCAAGACCCCCGGACCAGCACCAATCCCTCGGACTGCCACAGCACACGGGCCTCGGAGCGGGCAGTGGTTACCTGTGCACAGGCCTGGCTGTTGTTGGGCAGGAGCCCCACGTCCCCCCCTGTCATGTTGTATCTCTGGCGCAGGACGGCCGGTGTCACGCCCAGGTGGAACGACGCTCGTGCCAGCTGTGGGTCCTTCCTGGCCCTGGCTCTGCTGCCTGCCTTGCGCTCCGTGGGGAACCGGTGCATCCCACCCACTGCGGCAGAGCCCAGTGGGACAGGAGAGGCTGTCAGGGCGCAGAGCCCGGGCAAGGCAGGACAGAGCCCTTGGGCTCTCCATCACTGTCCCCACTTCTACATGGGCAGGCCAACAGTAGGGCTTGGATTGCCCAGCCATGCAGCCCTGGGCTGGGGAAGAGCCTCTTCAGCCTTCCAGGCTGAGCCACAGCCTCAGCCTGGCACCCCCTGCGCTTTTTGTGGGACGGTCACTGGATCCCACGGAACAGGGATCTGCAGGAGCGAGGTCTGCCCCCCCAGAAGCAGCTGCACCTGCATTCCGCAGCCTCACCTCCCCCAGGTGGGACGTACCGAAGTCCAGGTGCTCGGCGAGCTCTGCGGGGACAGTGTAGGGCAGTGGGGACCGCACCAGGCTGTGCTGGCCCTGCACGTACCGGTGGAACTCGGCCCCGGGGAGCAGGCGCTCGGCCGTGCTGCAACACAGGGACAGCCACTGTGGGATGGGACAGTGCTAGGACACAGGGACAGCCACCACAGGACAGGACAGGGCTGGGAGAGAGGGACAGCCACTGCCGAGTGGGACAGCACTGCAACACAGGGACAGCCACCATTGGATGGGACAGTAGTGAGACAGAGGGACAGCCACCACAAGGCCAGCAGAGCCAGTTCCAGCCCTCAGAGCTCACCTTGCAGGCAGGTAACACTCTAGAAAGTCAAGGGTGGTGACACTCCGGCAGTCCTCTACACCATGGCCTTGCAGCCACTTCAGAACTGTCATCAGTGTGGCTGGGGAAGGCTGGACCAAGTCCCTGACCTGCTCCAGGGACAGGTACTGCCCTGGGAGGCACAGAGGGTTAGATCCCCTCACAGGCCCCGGGGGTCTAGGGCCTCGGGGCTGTGGCCGTTACCGTATCGCGGGGACCGAGGGTCCGAGACGGCCTGGACCAGGCGGGCGAGCTGGGCAGTGCCGCGCTGCCGCAGGGCGAAGGTCAGCTGCACCGGGTGCCCGGCATCCACACGGCCGGCGTGGGCCCAGCCGGGGGGCACGCTGCAGGGCGGGTGGTGAGCGGGGCCAGCACCGGCACCTCAGGCTGGCCCGGCCCGGCCCGGCCCCCGCCCCGGACCTACCGGAACGGCTGATCCCGCTCCAGCGCCAGCCCCGAGGCGCAGCTCCAGGCGGCCGCACACAGCGCCAGCACGGCGGGGATCCCCCAACACCTGCAAAGGGCTCAGGGGAGCACAGGCAATGGCACAGCCGTGGGGAACCGGGACCGACCGGGGACCGAGCCCGAAGCCCGTCTGACTACGCCTTAGCCCGGGTCTGGGGAGCCCCTCCGGAGCTCCCCGAGTCCCAGCACCGGGAGCCTGTCCGAGCCTGTTACCCTGCCACTGGGGAGCCCCGCCTGACCCGCGAGCCCACACTACCGGGGAACCCCGCCTGACCCCCGGCCACCGTCCCCACCGCCACCCGGGAGCCCCACGGACACCCTGAGCCTCCGTCACCCTGCGGTCCCCATCGCCGCCGGGGCCGGAAGGCCCCCCCGCCCCGCTACCGCCCCCACCGAGGGGTGTCCCGGTGTCCCCGTGCCCCCGGGCCGGGGTGCCCCGCTCGGTGCCCGTTACCCCCGCGCCATGCCGCCGTGCCGCCCGGTCACGTGTGCTGCGAGCGCGTGACTCCCGCCACGTGGGGACACCAAAACAGCGGCCACGTGATGAACGTCACGTGGTGGGCGGAGCCGCGGCCGCGGCACCGGCCCCGGCGGGGACTCGGGGTGGCACCGGACCGGACCGGCACCCGCACCCGCACCTGCACCTGCACCCGCACCCGCTCCCGCTCCGGCGGGGACTCGGGGCGGCGGGGCGAGACCGTGCCGGCACCGGCGGGGACTCGCTGCTTGCCGGCCGCCCCGAGAGGCGGCTCACGCACGGCCCTGGCCGCCCCCCGTTCTCTCCGCCCGTCTCCCGGCGCGGTGCGCACTGGCACCCGCACCCGCACCCGCACCCGCACCCGCTCCCGCTCCCGCTCCGGCGGGGACTCGGGGCGGCGGGGCGAGACCGTGCCGGCACCGGCGGGGACTCGCTGCTTGCCGGCCGCCCCGAGAGGCGGCTCACGCACGGCCCTGGCCGCCCCCCGTTCTCTCCGCCCGTCTCCCGGCGCGGTGCGCACATTTCCCGGCGGAAGGGCTCGGACGGGGGGTTCCGTGTCGGGCTCCCTGCGGGGCTGGGGGTCCCGGGCTGCAGGGGCGGGCGGAGAGGCCCTCTGAGGCTGGGGGTCCCGGGCCGGGCGCGGGTCAGGGGTCCGTGCAGGACGGGCTGCTGGCAGCAGCGCAGTCGATACACAAAAGTTAACAACCATTAGCGAACGTCAACTCCAGACACCACCCCTCGAACAGCAGACCAGGCACTAAGAACTTCGACACTTGGGACCAATGAACAGTGAACCAATGAATTTCTATGTGTTTTGACTGTATAAAATATATGGAAAATCTAGTAAAATTCATGTGTCATGGAATGATTTTCTCCGCACAACGCAGGACATATGTGGATGAAACGATTTCTGTTGCACATCCTGGCCAGAACAAAATCCTGGCCAGAATAAAGTAATGCCTTGATTCTCTAACAGTAAAAACGTTGTTGGAGAGTTTTTTGGTTTTCCTGCAGTTTCGGTGACAAGCCCAGTCACAAGGCTCATCCCACGGCTCCAGCAGTTCCCAGCTGTTTTCCTGCTGCTGCAGAGCGGGGTGCAGGCCAGGAGGAGACAGGCAATAGGAAAACCACCTGCCCGGCCGTGGCTCCATCCCCCGCGCTGGAGCAATGCCAGAGGCGGCTGCTCCTGCTCCAGCCCCAGGGCTGCCTGGCCTGGCAGCCCCGGCCTCCTCCTGCTGGCACAGACAGAGGGGGAGCCGGCTGGGGCTGGGCTGCTCTCGGGGCTGCATGCCCCGTGCCCGGTTTGGGGATGGACTCTAAGTGGGATGGGATTTGCAGGGGATGCTGTCTGGGTCTGTCGGGACAGCCGGGATTAGGGTGGCCGGGCAGAGCTAATCGCGTTAAGGAGCATCTGCTGCTGGGCGGGAGCCGGGAGGTCAGGGCCCCTCGGCGTGCCCTGGCTCCCCGGGACCCTCGTGCGCAGCTCCCACGGGTGGGGTGAAGCGAGTCCCTGCTGCGGGCAGTTGGTGTTCCCGAGGCCAGGAGCACCAGAGGAGCACAGTGGCACTGGGGGCAGCCAGCATGGCCTCTGTGCCCCAACAGGGAGCTGGAAGGGGTCGGGCTGGGGCACGAAGGAGCAGAGGGAGCCCCAGGGACACCCTCAGGGAGGGGGTGGCCCTTCCCCCTCTGCCCCTGCTGGCTTATGCTTACCCCTGGAGTGCGAGGAGCCCTGTCAGAGCGGGGGGACAGGAGTGCTCCCCTGGTCCCAGAGCGCTGCCAGCAGGGCTGGGTGTGCCTGGGGGGCTGTGCAGAACAGGCTGGGGCTGTGCAGGACTCGCTGTGGGGTGCTGGAATCTGAGAGCTGAGGACAGCGAGTAAACAGGTTGGTTTGGGGAACAACAAAAAAAAAGCAAGCAGGGAAGGCAGGATGGAAGTGGCTGATCATATGTAGGTGGTTGATGGTGGCTGCGTGGGTCTGGCCACATCCAACACCTGACAGCTGCACAGCCACTCCTGGTTGTCCAACTCTGTTTCCCGGGGTTGGGGGGCACTGTTTGGTGAGGGGAGCCCGTGTGGTGTCAGGTCACAGTGTCTGGAGATCAGCAAAGAGCCCTGGGCATGTCTGTGTCGCCCAACGGGATAAGCAGAGCCAAAGCTGCTGGGCAGACTGGTGGGATCACTGGGATCCCCAGGGCAGGTCTGTGTGTGCTGGCGGCTGTGATGAGGCTGTGGCTTGGGGAAGCTGTGTGTGGAGGTGTCCTCAGTGGGGATCCTGGGAATGTGCGGTACCTGCTGGGCAGATGATGTGTCCAGGTGTGGCTGCTGCAGCCCTGGGGGCCTGCACAGCCCTGCTTGCAGCCCTCACCACAGCGAGGGTACCGGATGGGATAGGGATGCCTGTGGCATGTGGGACCAGCTGTGTGCACATGTGGAGACATGCCTTCCGTGTATACCCAGCCTCACTGCTGGACAGCCCCGAGGCCCCTGCTGCAGCTTCACTGCCCTCTCTGGAAAAGGACTTGGCAGGATGCAGCCAAGGATGTGGGTGCCAGAACCTGGCCAGGCCCACGTGAGCCCTGCATGGGGCAGGTCCAGTATCCCCCCTCCCGTCAGTCCCTGGGAACATGGTGCCAGCCTGGCAGGAGCCCACGGCAGCAGGGATGGGGCAGTGTCTGTACAAACGTGTGGTTTATTAAGGCATTTTTGAGACGTTGGCACTTGGGTTCAGGCTGCACCGAGTGGCCCCTGCGCGGCCGTGGGCAGCGCTGGTACATGCAGCTCCACGAGACACAATACAAAAGGTACAAACGAGTAAAAACAGGAATTGTAGTACAATGTGTAAAAATAAATAACTGGGGGCTCAGTGACCCCAGCCCAAAGCAGGGTGCATGTGTCTGGCCCTTCCTGTGGCATGCAGGGTGACCCATCTGTGTCCCCATCCCAGATGTGCAGTGGAGCTGGGCTGTGTGGGCAGCCTGGGCAGCACAGGGCTGGGGGGCACGGGGCACCCCAGCATGGGACTGGGGGGCACCGGGTAGCCCTAGAGTGCACCCACAGTCCTGGGGGACACAGGACACCCCCAGAGTGTCCCTACAGGGCCTGGGAACAACAATGTGTCCCCACAGTGCTTGTGAGCAGGACAGAGAGGGGATGGGGGTGCCCATCCCAAGAGCCTCTGTGGGCTGTCCCTGTGCCAAGGCAGAACCATCTCCCCCTCCCAGGGCACCTAGGCCCCTCTGAGTCCCAGGCAGAATGGGCATGGCCCTTGGTGGGGCCCCCTTAGTGCCCCTGTCACTGTTGCAGATGCCTGTTCCCTGTCACTGCCCTGTGCCCAGGACAGCACCTGGGACCAGCAGCATGTGCCAGGACCCCATGGCACCAGGGGGATGAGAGGCTGACTGTGACACACGGAGCTGCAGCCACAGATGGCTCTTCATGGGAAATGGGGGGACGGGCAGAAGTGATGCATTTGTCTGCTGTGACAACACCTTTGCGGCTGGGGCTGCAGCCACGCTGCTCGTGGGCTGGGTCTGTGTGATGGGAAGGAGCTTCCCTGGCTCTGCTCAGGCATGGGGTGTCCCGCTGACCCCCCGACACCTGTGACCAGACTGGGCGTTCAGGGCTGCTGTGGGGCACCCCATGCTGTTCCAGCCCTCGCCCTGCACCCATGGCTGTGCGGGGATCATAGAGCCCAAGGCTGCGCTCCCAGGGCCCGTGACGTGTGAGCCTGTCCCGGTGAGCAGCTCCCCGTGAGCAGCCGGGCCCAGGGAGAGCTCGGTGGGGTAGGTGTGCTGCGAGTGTGATGCTGCCTGCGTGACCGGCCGTGCACAGTGCTGGCAGGAGATGGGGACCGGCCCCATGGCAGGGGCTCCGTCCAGGCTCACAGCATGCAAAACAGGGGTGCACAGCAGCTCCGCACAGGGGCTGGGGCCAGGAGCAGGGTGTTCTGGCACCTTGACCATGTTCTGGAGGTGGCCCAGACTGTCCTGGGAAGCAGTCATGCAACAGGGCCCCAGGAAAGGCCAGATGCCCAGTGTCCCCACTGTGGCTAAGAGAACATGTTGGGTGACGTGGCTTTTTGGGGCACCCAACAACCTGCGCCCCTGCAGCTGCAGGCTGCCTGCTGGGCCTGAGGCGGGTGCGGGTCACAGCAGCCATCACCGCTCTGCTGAGGCTGGGCTGTCCCTGTCAGGCACACACAGCTCTGCCAGCCCCACTGTGCTGCCTGTGCCTGGGCACTGTCCCTGCCTGGGACCCTTGCCCAGAGAGGCACTGGTCCCAGGAACAGGATTCCCACACTGAGCATGGCAGGCGCCTCCCTCCCAAGAACACAGGAACCATCCTGAAGTTCTGGGCAGGAGATTCCCTGGATCTGTCACCTGCAGTGGGTAGCCAAAGGGTTGGAGAGACCTCAAAGGCTCTCCTGTCCCTTCCTAGCCACAGACAGGCAGCAAGATGTGGGCACGGCTGCCTTCTGCTGCAGCCAGCCCGGTGAGTGTCCCCTCCTGGCCGGGGGCAGGCTCATTCCCAGAGGCAGTGTCCGTGCTCTGGCGCATCGTGCCCTGCCCCGGGACATCACCCCCAGCCATGGGGCATCGCCCCCTGCCCTGAGGGCTCCTAGGGTCACAAGGGAAAGCTCGGGGTCCTCCTGCACCCAGGCTGCTGCATGGCACCCAGAGCTCGGTAGGGCAGGGTCTGGGCCTCCAGCCGCCCTCAGCTCCCCGTCGCTCCCAGAGCACCAAGTACCGTGAAGCACCATCCTTCCCAGCACCAATCTGAGCCACTGAAAGCAGCACATGGACCATCACCCCGGGGTGCCAGCACTGGGGTCAGCAGTCCACAGGGCACCAGCCAGCACAGGATCTGCCAAGCTGTGGGGAGGGACAGGGGCCACAGCCTCCAAGGGCATCGGCAGTCCCAGGGCCCAGGCCAGGCACAGCGCTGGGAGTGGGATGAGCACCCATTTTAGCAGCCCTGGGCTGGGCCCCGCTCCGGCCCCATGGCTGCGGGCTGGGGCAGAGGAGTCCAGGGGCCCAGCTCTAAATCCTGAGCTCGGCCTCCTCAGGGGGCTCCAGCGAGT